GCGACCGCAGCGTTCGCGCCAGGAAAGCGGACGCGGCCGGTTCCCGCCGCTCCGACCGCGGCGCCGCGTCCGGCCTCAGAGGCCCTGAGGAGAGTTTTCCTGTAAAACTACAAACTGCAGGTTGGAAAGAGGCGGAAACGTGCCTGGACGTTTACCGATCTGCCAGATCAGAAAAATGTCAAAGCGAGAACTATACGATTAGACGTATTTTGAGGAAAAGTAGGAAACACAGCTGGGTTACACATAATTACAAAACTAAGCGTCAAAACATGAGAAAAACTGGAGAAAAATTGAATTTGCTACAATTCTCAGAAATAGCTCTTTTAAGCGAAGATTATTATCATACAAAAGCCATGAACACACGTGAAGAACAACCACAGCTCCTCACGACGGGAGCCTTGGGCAGCCAAAGGGCTTTACTAAGGTTTTTTTGGGTAAGCGGTAAAGGAGAAAACAGTGCTGTGCTACAGTTGCGATATTATACTTCACAGAAGGGCTTTCACTTAGGCAATGTGTTTGAGAATTTCATTACGGAAAGGTTTTATTTCCACAAAAGCGTTTCCGCAAGTGAAGAAGGTAATAATAGCATTTCAGCCTGGCATGGAATTTTGAAACGTCTAAAGCAAACTGATGTTCAGAATCTAGTAATTAGGAATATAAATGTCAACAGAAGGATTAACGTTTTAAGCATATACTTACAAACCAGCGTTTCAAAACCTCTGAATATCATATTGAAAACCAACATAGCTTCTTTGCTCAGTAACTTTGACTCTTTAACTGGAACTGGAAATGATTCCAAATTAGAGGGATGCATTTTCAAATGGGTAATGCCTTTGAATTATCTAGAAAATATTACAGTGGAAAATCATCTTGTAGATCTAGGAAGGACTTTAACTTTCTCAATACCGTCAGGAGATAGTATGAAACCCATGTTAGAGGGGAAAAACCTGTTTAAAATGGAGCAAGTTTTCGAAGAGTTTGAGGAAAGACCCATCAATTCCTTTAGTGTGACAACTAAAAATATAGTTTTAATGGACTTTGATGACATGGATGAAATTTCTTTGACAAAAGAAATTAGTTACAAGGGTAAGACTTGTCCTGAACAAGTCACGAATGTGAAAAACTGGGCTCCCTGCAGTACAAATGCTGTGAAAATACATGTTAATTCTCTCCCTCAATTCATACAGAACACCCATGAATACATTAATGCAGACTTTTATGAAATAAATATGCACAACAAAAAATCGGACGCCGAACGGAAACTGGAGTGCGATAAGATGAGTAGCTTTAATTTTAAGTGCATTTTTGAAGATGTCTTCCATGTCAGGCAACAAGCCAAACCGACAAGCCGCTGCACAAAACATACGGAGCAAACCGATGCCATGATTTTAACACAGGCGCGAGACTTTGGGAGCTTGCTAAGAAGTGCAATCGAAGCAAAAAACCGTGACTTAATTTTGAAGAAGGAAGGAAAAGTCACGGCACAAAGTTTAACACGCCATCGCCAAGTTCATAAAGACACTGAGATCGGCAAGGGAGAGGAAAATAGTTTTGATTCAATGGGTGGCATGCTTTCTAAGAAACCCGTTTCCTTAATGAGTAAGAAAGGAAATGTGGAAGAAACTAAATATGTTAATCAAAATAACCTCACTGGCACAAATGAGTATGAGAGCATTTTGCGAGAAAGTGAGTTAGCTAATTCACAGCATTTTTATCCACAGAACGACTCTACAGAATGTGTTAAACATCAGTTTGGAGCTGATCTGAGTGAAGGGGACGGTGGTTTTCAGGGCTTAACTGCTGAGCGTTTATCAGAAGCTATGACAATAGCCAACGATTTTGAGATGAAGAGTAAATTTGATTTAGTGCTTAAAGAACTTCACATGTTCCATGAAATCAGTAAGGAAAATGAGATTCTGAGCTCTGTGAAAACAAACAATGGGCACGAAAATTACTTTAGAGAAAATAATGATGTGGAGGAGACGAAAACAAAGATAAAAAAAGATTTGAAAATGGGTACAGTCAACAAAATATGTGCATCTTCTTTGCTCTGTGATGCTGCAGCAGGTCCCAATAGGCATAAAAGACACCAGCGTTTATTTAAGTGGGAAGCTGTACCCAGAAACAGAGAGCAGGAAGTTCCTAATGAGTATCCCTGTTTAGGGCCATTGAAGGAAGAGTTTCTCTATTCTACTTCTGAGGAAGGTATAGAACTAGTTTTAAAATGTGTTTTCTTATGATAGAAAATATTAATGCTTTTTCCCCCTGTGTTGGCCAAATATATAATTTGAGCAAAAAGGAGATAAAGTATAAGCAATGCTTACTGATGCACATTGTTTTCTATAAAGAACTGTTCCAACATTAAATAATATACTGAACTTGAAGATGACAAGTGATAAGATTTTTAAAAGGAGCTTGGAAGGACCCTGCTTCATTTATCTAAATATTAAGAGCCAGCAGGAGGAGTATTTTTGAAAAAGTAATTTGTTTAGTATAAACATTTTATATAAAAGTTACTTTCTGCTGTAACATATTGATCTTTATTTTCAGATGGTGAGACACCTTCACCCAAAAGACCTGCTTTATTCTCTGATGAGTTTAAGGAAGAAAACGTTAATTATTTACTGAAGGGAGGTAAGATTTTTGGTTATTTTCTAGAGTACCTTCTAAGATGATTATTGCATTCTTGTATTTTCAGTATGAGGACAATATACTTAGGTTATTAGAAAATAAATACAGAGATTTAGTACTTTTGTAAACATTAATAATTTACTGAAGCAAATTCTAATAGTTAAAAATTGGCTAAAAATTAAGATGCCATTTTAGAATATTAGGTTTAGAATGTTATTGGGAAATGTGCTCTTCCAAACTGTCTAAATATTTGCTGGGATGCATTGCAATAACTATGTAATAAGGTAGGTGTTATGCATGTCTAATATACACATCTAATATAGGTAACAGCAATTGGCAAAACCAAAAAAGGTGTTTAACTGAGTTGGATTTCTATTGAGAGATGCTAGTCCCAGTTATATAATCATCATCAATGTTCTCTATCCTTTAACTGTTATGAGGCTCTTTATATAAGCATTTTATTTAGTAATAAAAAAATTAGTATCATTTAGATATGTTAGCGTGATTTACAAATATGGAATTTAAAATTTTTATTACTATTAAACAAAACTAACAAACAGTTAAGCAACTATCCTTATCATTTGCCCAAGAGGTCCACTATATCACAATGAAACACTGCAGGTCTAACATCTGTTCTAACTTATAATAGTACCAATGGAATGAGACAAGGCAGGACTGATATTGGGCAGTTGTTTTCTAAATGACTAAAATTTCATTTGGTCAAAGCCTGCTGGTACTATACAACAAGACCAGATCTAGAAAGAACAGCAATGTAGTTGAAATACATTTACTAAAACACCTTCAGTCATTCATCATTTCTCAGAACATTTTTCTGGCTTGTCATCAGTAGAATGCTGTCCCTGGTAACTTTATTCAGTCACTTCAGAAAAGCATCTTTTCCTTTTTTCTTAGTTTACAATAAAATAATCTTAAAAATTAAACTAAGGTCTGAAAGATCAAAAGCCCACAGGTAGTCTCTTCTCCCTTGAATAAAAGGAATAATTGAGGGAACAATACTCCGAGACTAGAAGCAGGGTGGCAGAATTGGCCTGGAAAGGACAGGAGTTGTTTCTTGTAGGACAGAGAGAGAGGAAGAACTTGGGTTAATGTCGAGATAGAATGGAGGAAGAACAAGGAACATGCACCCATATCTGTCATGATTATAACTGTGATAATGAAATGGGTGTGTGAGGAGACTAAATTATGTGCAAAAATTGGAAAAGAAATGTTACATCTGTTGGAAATACTTGAACCCATAATACTGTATTGTGTCTTTACAAGGAAAAGTGCCTCATTATTATAAAATATGAAAAATAATGTGTGAGGTCAGCCAGAATTATTTGATATTATGTTAGGATAGTTGTCTTGGATTTACTTTCAAAGATTATCCCCAAATACACCAAGGTTACTGGTTCAATCCCCGGTCAGGGCACATACAAGAATCAACCAATGAATGCATAAATAAGTGGAACAACAACTAGATATTTCTCTCTCTCAAAAATCAATAGTTTTTAAAAAATCTATATAGTTTTGTTATCATTAAGTCAAACTGTCTGACTGGAGTGATAACTTTAGTTTGTATTTTATATTGGTCAAGTTACTTGACTTTTGTGCTGAGGTTTCTACATTTTAAAAATGAAGATTTAGGATTAAGTAAACTAATTCGTCTAAAACACCTAGCTCAGTGACTCAGTAAATGTTGTTTGTATGATTAAAAGTTAGCAAAAATTTTTTAATCTTAGAAACTATGAGTAATTTTTATCCCTTAAATACTTTTATTGTCCTGTATTTTTAGGTAGTAATTTTTCACATGGAATTTCAAGAGTACTACCTCTTAAGACATGCAGTCGGCCAATCAGAGTTGGTTTGTCCAGGAGAGCTAAGCTTAAACAACTTCATCCCTATCTAAAGTAAATATGTTATGAGGACTTAAAAGAAGATATTGAAATTTAATATTTCAAAAAATTTCATGACAGCTATTAATCTTTTCTTTCTTTGGATAAGTGCTTTAATTTCACCTTGGGGGCTTGGAGCTTTCTTTATTATGAAGTACGGAGAGGGTTGTGTGTGTGTATTACCTAGTCACCTTTAAACATCTAACATTGATGTTTTAATGTCATTAACAATAATGCATTAAAAGTTTTTGCGATCTTATAAAACGTCAACTTATTTTTCATAATATATTCATATATAAAAATGCTTTTGTGGAGAAGATTGGTAGCCTTTATGAGTTTCTCAAAAAGATCTTAAAAGAGCAACAAATCTTTTCTGCTTCTGTTTAAAAAGTCAGCGTGCCTCTGCTTCATAGGTGTTCTGCATTTGAAGGGTAGTGAAATCTTTGCTGTTTACCAGATATAATGTTTTAGTTCCTCACAAACAGGGTAGGGGTGAAGGGTGTGAAAGAGCTAACATTGAAATTTTGAAACAGCAGCAGAGTAAGTGCTTTTTAATTTTTGTTCGCTGTAGTTGGTTATAAAGAAAAATCCCCCCTATGTAATTATTGTGAACACTTTGCTTTGTGGTCACTCTAATATTTTTAGGGGTTGGGACAGGGAGGAAAAGTAACAATAGTCCACTTGTCCCTGGCATCTATTCAGAGCAGTGTGAACATTTTAATGCTTTTTTGTAAGAAATGTTTTATGATTTAAAAAATAAATTTAGTGAACTTATTTTTAGTGGCCATTTTTTTTTAAGATGGTCATTTTTTCAAATGGCTGAATCCTCCAACCTACCGCTAAACTAAACACTGAGTTTTAATTTCAGCTCCTCTGTTGAAATAAATGCATCTCTTCCCTGACTTAGGCAGAAATTTTTTGGCAAATTCAATTCTATTGATTATTTTTTTAAAGTTTTCTTAAAATTGATTTTTAAAGAGAGAGGGAGAGAAACGTGGATTGGCTGCCACCTCCTTGCGTGCCCCCTGTTGGGAGATTGGCAGGTGCGCTGACCAGTAATCAAACCTGCAACCTTTTGGTGCACAGGATGACTCCTAACTAAATGAGCCACACTGGCCAGGGGCCAGGGCAGTTCTGGTGATTTGATGGTTTTAAAGTTCATTGCTTGGGAAGAAATTCCATCATACGCATTCATGCTTATAATAAGCTGGGGGTTTTGTTGGTTTGCAAATGCTTGCACCTACTTTGCAACAGGTTTCTATGTTAGTAATTGTGAAGAGCCAGGGTGTGGAGCAGCACTAAAAATTAAGTAATGGTATAAGCATATACCAGAAGCCTGATGATAGCAAGCTTTATTGATCAGAATAATACTTGGTTATGGAAGTGACTAATGCTAAAACAAATTCTATTTATTATTGGATATTTTCTTACCTGTAGAACTAAACTATCAACCTACCTACTGCCTATTGGTTAAACTTTGTTATATATGTGTGTGTATATATATATTCTTATTTTTCCATTGTATGCAAATTGAAAAAAGATGTACCATTTTTTTTTGTTGTTGTTTGTTGGATTATGTAGGAAATGTTTGTGAAATTTTTTTTAAAAAGGATGAGAAGAGTTTCTGTGGATGTTTTGTGTAGTATCTTGACATTTGTATTAATAGTTTAATGCTCACTTCCAAATAAAACTCCTAGGAAAATACTAGGCAAAAAGGTAATGAATTCTCTGTTCTAATCCACTTCCCTTATTTTCCCTTTTCTAGTGCAAAGAGGACGGGTACATTTCTCAAAATCACAAAGTGTCAGGGTTGGGATAGCATTCTTTCCCACTTTCCTGCATTCACTTTCTAGTTTCTAGTTTCCCCTCCAGAGTCTATCTTTGGCCGCAAAGCAGAATTGTGATCATTTAGTTAATACCTACGATTAACTTATTCACTCATAAAACAAATATATTTTAATACTCGTACTGTTGTGTTAGGCTCAGTGATAGAACACAAAGACCCTGCCTCGTGGAGCTTACTTTCTGTGCTTGAGATTGGAAGAGAAATGTAGGATATACGTAACTTAAGAGCAGCCATCAGTAGAATACTGCTTTTCAAAACACTAGACAGAAAAATAAAATGGGCTACTTAGAAAAACCTAAGGAAAGAAGGAAGTGTCAAGAAAACATAAAAAACCAGAAAGCCTATAACAGAATGACAGAAGGAAGAGCTTATCAATTAACAAAGTAAGTGTCATCATCCTGTTATAAGCCAAGATCCCCAGACACACTAAAAACCACCTCGAATTCAGCTCCATTTATTAATTTCCACCCCCACCATGTACTTTCTAACTTCATTGTCTTGCTATAATTTCTTTTTCTTCTGACAGAACTCTTCAGCTTTTCACACTGTGTAACTTATGCCTTACCAGAATGCAAGTCCTTACCCTCCCCCCACTAATATGCCCCAAGTGCCTCAGATAGTACCTGCCCCTCATCAGTATCCATACAGTATTATTTGAGTGAATGAATGAATGAATTTCTGCACCTGCTCATCATAGCTATGTCTTTTTAAATTCTTAATAGCTTTATGACCTTGGGCACGTCTTCATTTTTAAAGAGGACAATAATAACTCATGGGATCATTGTGAGGATAAATGAGCTAATACACATAATGTATGTATAACACCTCATACATAGTAACTGCTCAACAATAAATAACAATTTACTAATACATAGTGTCTACTCAATAATTAATAACTTTTTAGAATGTTTGGCTTTTTCTTGAATTTTTTCCCCTGGATCCTGAATTAGATTATTTTCAAGAATATTCCTTTTCCTTTGAGTCTTATGAAGATGTTTCTTCTACTTTTTTTTTCTGCAAGGGCCCTCATCTTTCTCTTCCTTTTTAAAATTATTATTATAAGCCCCATGTATTTTATTTTTATATAAGGCAAATCTCATCACAAGGAGGTTTGTCTTCACAAACCTTGTTCTCTGTTTCTCTGTATGAATACTGAATTCTGTTCTAATGTGGCAAATTGTGTTTTCTTTTTCCTAAATTTTTGGAAGCTTTTATAGATGCTATCTTTTCTCTAGTAAATGATATAGAAACCTACAAGCACTACTGGCTCTTTCATACTCTGAACTGTGTGATAAGTTTAAACTCCCAGCGTACAGTGGTTTTCCATGCCACTGCCCCATTGCTGCTTTGACCTTACAGAGCTTTCCTTGTAAAAATTTTGGGAAGTATTTCACCTCTTCCAATGTAAAACTTGTTCCTGCTAATGTCATTACTCAAGTACTCTTCCCCAGGACTCCTTCCCTAACACACACAGCCATCACCTTTCCCCTCCTGCCTAGTTCTGTGAGCTCTTGTCTCTGGAAGTGGAAAACTGGAGGATAGGAGGAAGGTAACATTTTAGCTCAGGTTTGTGTCTCCATAGCCAGGTTTGCAGGGGCTGCACTGGGGCTGTGGTGGAATACATTAAAACAGAAACTCATTCTCCCTCCACTTTGTTCTTTTAACCATTGTTCTTAAAATGTAAAAGTTGAATGCTTTCAGATCAGAAGAAAAATATTCAGAGAATGAAAAGCCACTTCAAAAAATACTTGCTTTTATTCCACCTTAGAATAAATCTTGGTGTTACTTCAGTTTAAAGTAACAAGCTTTTGGATGTATAACAGTGAGCATGAGAAGAGAAGCAGAACCTTATATAAAATCAACTTAAAAAGGTAGGTTGATATCAATACATGAAGTCTGCAGGCCTCTGAGTTAATATTACCTGTTGAACCTTATTTAGTGAGGCAAAGTGGAAAAAACTATAGTGATTCATAATTCTTTCTATTACAGCAAACATCCTTTTAAACTTTTTTTAAAAAAATAGATCTTTATTGATTTCAGAGAGAGGTAAGGAGGGGGAGAGAGAGAGACAGAAACATCAATGATGAGAGTCATTGATCGAGCCCGCAACCCGGGCATGTGCCCTGACCAGGAATCGAACCCCGATCGCCTGGATCCTAGGTCTACGCTCAACCGCTGAGCCACACCCGGCTGAGCGTACAGCAAACATCCTTTTAAAGGAACCTATCCTTTGAATGATTTGGGCCTAACATGAGGAACTCTCTATTAAATTCATTCATATTCTACATCAATAATAAAGAATGTACCATAAAAATGATTGCTTGGATTTTCTAAAGTCTGTTATGAACACAATCCTATGGATGTGACCTATTTTTCACATCTGGAAAAAAAAGAAGTTTCAATAGCTTTAATGTTTGTGATTTTGGGACTTGGGGAGTGGAGTAGGGATTATTTTATTTTCATGAGACTAAAATTAAAGATAACATACATGAAATGTCTAGCTCAACTCCTAGTACCTAGCAAGCATGTAATTACTAATAGCTGTTATTAATATTTTTTAAAAGTTTTCTTATCCTTTATAGGGTTAAATAAAAATATACTAGTAAAGTTTCCTGTTCAAGGGATCCTACCTATAAAGGATGGGTTGAGAAATATTTACCTTTATGCTTTGAAGTTTATTACATGTTTTGAATATTTACTTGTCAGAATACTTATTAATGCATAATTCAAACATTATACATGTTTGGGTCAGTCTATTTTAACATGTATAATGTACTGGGACAGGTCCAATGGAAGTTCTTGTACTATAAATAAATTACTTTTAAAAAAGGATACAGCTGTTTTTATTGCAGTAGAATGTACATAAAACAAATTTACCATTTTAACCATTTTTAACTATACAGTTCAGTGACATTAAGTACATTCACATTGTTGTATATACTACTTTTGAATTTCACTTTAGTTAAAATAATATATTTTGCTCAATTTTTCTTTTTCTGTCTCAGGAGTGACATCATAAATCCCTAACAACAGAAGGGAGAAAACTCTCACTTTTTTGCAACACTTTCTAGTTTTTGACTCAAACTGATTTTATGGTAGAATTCTTAGCTATGGCTAACACATTCCTATGTGTCTTTGAAAACTGCTTGGGAATTTGTTAGAACTTGGATGTAAAGTTTCTTTGCTTAACAGTTTTTTTCTTACAAAGACAGTGCATCAAGAAGAAAAGTTTTAAATTGGGATAGAATCGTGAAAGTAATTTCTAGTAATCATGGGATTATGCTAGAAATGCAATTACATTTACAAAATACTTAGTAATCTTTAGAACTGGAAAAATACTGCAT